TTTCTCGTTACCGTAAATACCCGTCATTGTGATTCCAAAGTATGTGGTAAGGATCGAGCCTTTATATTAAGACCGCCTGCCTATAACGGTCACTTTTCTTTACTACTTTGAGTGGTTGTTATAGGCAGGTTGCAGCAAAACGAAAATATCTTTGTTGCGAAAAACCATAATTTCGCCTTGCTTGATCGTTAACGCACCACAGGGACTGACTGAAGGATAGGATCATTATTTAACAGAAACTAATGACACTGACAGTGACTAGTGAGTGAATGGTGATGATAAACAGAACAACATTTGTCTCGTACAAACTATTTCTTGTTTTCTTTTTGCTTACCCATACTCTCCTTACACGCATACCCATACTCTCCTTACAGACATACTAATACTCTCCTTACAGACATACCCATACTCTCCTTACAGACATACCCATACTCTCCTTACAGAAATACCCATACTCTCCTTACAGACATACCCATACTCTCCTTACAGACATACCCATACTCTCCTTACACGCATACCCATACTCTCCTTACAGACATACCCATACTCTCCTTACAGACATACCCATACTCTCCTTACAGACATACCCATACTCTCCTTACAGAAATACCCATACTCTCCTTACACACATACCCATACTCTCCTTACAGACATATCCATACTCTCCTTACAGACATACCCATACTCTCCTTACACATATACCCATACTCCCCTTACAGACATACCCATACTTAGAATCTGTGTGTACTCAGTTTCAGACCACCCATACTCTCCTTACAGACATACCCATACTCTCCTTACAGACATACCCATACTCTCCTTACAGAAATACCCATACTCTCCTTACACACATACCCATACTCTCCGTACAGACGTACCCATACTCTCCTAACAGACATACCCATACTCTCCTTACAGACATACCCATACTCTCCTTACAGAAATACCCATACTCTCCTTACAGACATACCCATACTCTCCTTACAGACATACCCATACTCTCCTTACAGACATACCCATACTCTCCTTACAGACATACCCATACTCTCCTTACACACATACCCATACTCTCCTTACAGACATACCAATACTCTCCTTACAGACATACCCATACTCTCCTTACACATATACCCATACTCCCCTTACAGACATTACCATACTCTCTTTACAGACATAACCATACACTCCTTACAGACATACCCATACTCTCCTTACACGCATACCCATACTCTCCTTACAGACATACCCATACTCTCCTTATAGCCATACTCTCCTTAGAAACATACCTATACTCTCCTTACAGACGTACCCATACTCTCCTAACAGACATACCAATACTCTCCTTACAGACATACCCATACTCTCCTTACAGACATATCCATACTCTCCTTACAGACATACCCATACTCTCCTTACACACATACCCATACTCTCCTTACAGACATACCCATACTCTCCTTACAGACATACCCATACTCTCCTTACAGACATACCCATACTCTCCTTACAGACATACCCATACTCTCCTTACAGACATACCCATACTCTCCTTACACAAATACCCATACTCTCCTTACATACATACCCATACTCTCCTTACAAACATATCCATACTCTCCTTACAGACATATCCTTATTCTCCTTACAGACATACCCATACTCTCCTTATACACATACCCATACTCTCCTTACAGACATACCCATACTCTCCTTACAGACATACCCATACTCTCCTTACACATATACCCATACTCCCCTTACAGACATTACCATACTCTCTTTACAGACATAACCATACACTCCTTACAGACATACCCATACTCTCCTTACAGACGTACCCATACTCTCCTAACAGAAATACCCATACTCTCCTTACAGCCATACTCTCCTTACAGACGTACCCATACTCTCCTAACAGAAATACCCATACTCTCCTTATACCCATACTCTCCTTACAGACATACCCATACTCTCCTTACAGACGTACCCACACTCTCCTAACAGACATACCAATACTCTCCTTACAGACATACCCATACTCTCCTTACAGACATATCCATACTCTCCTAATACTCTCTCCTTACAGACGTACCCATACTCTCCTTACAGACATACCCATACTCTCCTTACACACATACCCATATTCTCCTTACAGACATACCCATACTCTCCTTACAGACATACCCATACTCTCCTTACACGCATACCCATACTCTCCTTACAGACATACCAATACTCTCCTTACAGACATACCCATACTCTCCTCTCCATACAGACATATCCATACTCTCCTTACAGACATACCCATACTCTCCTTACACACATACCCATACTCTCCTTACAGACATACCCATACTCTCCTTACAGACATACCCATACTCTCCTTACAGACATACCCATACTCTCCTTACAGACATACCCATACTCTCCTTACAGACATACCCATACTCTCCTTACAGACATACCCATACTCTCCTCATACTACTCTCCTTACAGACATACCCATACTCTCCTTACACACATACCCATACTCTCCTTACAGACATTACCATACTCTCCTTACACAAATACCCATACTCTCCTTACATACATACCCATACTCTCCTTACAGACATACCAATACTCTCCTTACAGACATACCCATACTCTCCTTACAGACATACCCATACTCTCCTTACAGACATACCCATACTCTCCTTACAGCCATACTCTCCTTACAGACGTACCCATACTCTCCTTACAGACATATCCATACTCTCCTTACAGACATACCCATACTCTCCTTACACACATACCCATACTCTCCTTACAGACATACCCATACTCTCCTTACACACATACCCATACTCTCCTTACAGACATACCCATACTCTCCTTACAGACATACCCATACTCTCCTTACAGACATACCCATACTCTCCTTACACACATACCCATACTCTCCTTACAGACATACCCATACTCTCCTTACAGACATACCCATACTCTCCTTACACAAATACCCATACTCTCCTTACATACATACCAATACTCTCCTTACAGACATACCCATACTCTCCTTACAGACATACCCATACTCTCCTTACAGACATACCCATACTCTCCTTACAGACATACCCATACTCTCCTTACAGACATACCCATACTCTCCTTACAGAAATACCCATACTCTCCTTACACACATACCCATACTCTCCGTACAGACGTACCCATACTCTCCTAACAGATATACCCATACTCTCCTTACAGCCATACTCTCCTTACAGACATACCCATACTCTCCTTACACGCATACCCATACTCTCCTTACAGACATACCTATACTCTCCTTACAGACATACCCATACTCTCCTTACAGACATAACCATACTCTCCTTACAGACATAACCATACTCTCCTTACAGACATACCCATACTCTCCTACTATATATCTACACAGTCTCACTAAAACACAGACACAAACTATATATCTACACAATCTTACTAAAACACAGACACAAACTATATATCTACACAGTCTCACTAAAACACAGACACAAACTATATATCTACACAATCTTACTAAAACACAGACACAAACTATATATCTACACAATCTTACTAAAACACAGACACAAACTATATATCTACACAATCTGACTAAAACACAGACACAAACTATATATCTACACAATCTGACTAAAACACAGACACAAACTATATACAACACAGTCTCACTAAAACACAGACATTAACTATATATCTACACAATCTTACTAAAACACATATACAAATTATATATCTACACAATCTCACTAAAACACAGACACAAACTATATATCTACACAGTCTCACTAAAACACAGACACAAACTATATATCTACACAATCTCACTAAAACACAGACATTAACTATATATCTACACAATCTCACTAAAACACAGACACAAACTATATATCTACACAATCTCACTAAAACACAGACATTAACTATATATCTACACAATCTCACTAAAACACAGACATTAACTATATATCTACACAGTCTGACTAAAACACAGACACAAACTATATATCTACACAGTCTCACTAAAACACAGACATTAACTATATATCTACACAATCTCACTAAAACACAGACACAAACTATATATCTACACAATCTCACTAAAACACAGACACAAACTATATATCTACACAATCTCACTAAAACACAGACATTAACTATATATCTACACAATCTCACTAAAACACAGACATTAACTATATATCTACACAGTCTCACTAAAACACAGACACAAACTATATATCTCTACACAGTCTCACTAAAACACAGACACAACTATATATCTACACAATCTCAAAAACACAGACATTAACTATATATCTACACAATCTTACTAAAACACTACACAATCTCACTAAAACACAGACATTAACTATATATCTACACAGTCTCACTAAAACACAGACATTAACTATATATCTACACAGTCTGACTAAAACACAGACACAAACTATATATCTACACAGTCTCACTAAAACACAGACACAAACTATATATCTACACAATCTCACTAAAACACAGACACAAACTATATATCTACACAATCTGACTAAAACACAGACACAAATTATATATCTACACAATCTGACTAAAACACAGACATTAACTATATATCTACACAATCTCACTAAAACACAGACATTAACTATATATCTACACAATCTCACTAAAACACAGACATTAACTATATATCTACACAGTCTCACTAAAACACAGACATTAACTAAAGTTATTTATTCACTCTCAGTGTATGTTTCGATTTTACATTTAAAATCCATGATTTCTTTGGGTACAGTGAACATTATATTAAGCTTGTGTGATAGGCTATATCTCACATAAATAGGACAATATTAAAACGATGTCTTTTACAAGCTCGGAAATCTCTTGATTAGTTTAAGAATCATACGTGAATAATCCATTTAATAGTTAGCTTTCTATGGATGTCCAGTTTTATCATGTTGGTTTCAGGTCGATCAGTGGGCGTAGTCTCAACTGCGAGGATTACACATGCTACACCCGCGTGTGCGTATGCCAAAACACCGTCACGTGACTGGGAGGTAGACGGAGAGATGGTGGGCGTGGCTGAAGGGTGTACAGACATCGCCTCACAGCTCATTTATAACAATAGTTATGCTAAAGTATGTATACCAACTCGTCCATAGCAACAGTTAAATGACAGGGTACCGCACAATCATCTTGTCCAAATTGAACTTGAACCAAAGAGTAAATATTCTGACACAGCATAAACTAGAAACGTCAGTAATCAAAACACATGTACAAATTCATAAACATTTACATTTCGACTAGGTTATATAAACGCCAGGTCGAGGTAGATAACCTCATCTCTTCTAAATCACACATCTCGACATATTTCAAGAAAGCCAAATTTTGAACGTTTTGTACTACTGACTGTATTTCCGTGTCGTTCGCCTGTTCATTTATACATGATGTGGTGACGACAAATGGTCACACATTTTTCAAACTAAATCTGTAGAAATTTTATGTCTGTGATGGCAATCATTACATGAGAACTGGTTGTTGTGAAAAATTGTTTTACAGTTTGTTATATCTATGGTGACCTTTTGTAATCATTATTCCTAAACAAATAAAAATAATTTAGTTCCAAACAATGTACACAAAGGGAAGATAACTCCAACCACTAAGTAGGACGCAGAACAAGCTCATTCCTGGCTTGTAAAGTCAATTTTATTTTTATCTACGAAATCCAAGGGTTTCAGTCTCAAAATGAATTCAATGTCATAATATCTTTTCTCACATGAATACGTCTGTTGAATGAGAAACTGCAGTTCAAACACCACAATTATTTACACGATTCATTACACTCTCTGTACCGCTACTGGCATGTAATAACTCCTTAAACAACATACTGCGTGTCTGTAAAGTAGGTTATTGCTAAAACATTTAGACAAACAATTATAGGAGCAGTATGATACATAACTGTGTCTGGTGTTTATCTATAGGTAATACTTGGTGGCGGAAGACAATACTTTCTAGGCAGAAATGATTTGGATCCAGAACTGAACCACACCAATTCCGGTAGACAACGACTCGATGGAGTCGATCTGACACAGGTAGCTAGTCATTGTTAGTAAATCGACGTAGCTGTATCATTACTGGAGAAAGGCAATAAAAATTCAATAAAGCACAGTACAGCAGAGAAAGCCTCTCCTGATATTTGTTGTATAGAATCTGACGTATTCCACTACATAATATAAACAGGTAATTTAATGTGGGACCCATGCAGAATCATTGTTTCTTTGTGTCTTATACAAAGACCATAATGACATGACTAAAACAGATCTGCAGCCCCCACCCATCACTTAGAAACTTTTCTTTTCTTCTTTTTCTGCGCTTTGTTTATAACATATGATGTCCCACTTGATCAGTTTTTCATATGACACCGACTGTTGCGTGGACGTTAAAACGAAAAGACTAAGAAAACAAAACGAACATTCTCACATACAATATTCTGTCTATAGAATGTTTTCTCTACAATACTAGGCACGATTCTAGTAATTTAACGTTTTGCTGATTTTCGAGTTCCGGTCTTGAATCGCACAATGTTTACTTCACCAGTTTTCATTAAAACTGAGAGAGGAAAAAGATAAACATTACTGTGATACTGGTTACTTTGTATCAGTTTAATTCGGTTTTGGACGTCGTATATTACAGTGAATATGATTATTTTCTCAGGTTTGGAAAGATGACAAAGATAGACGGAAATTGTCAGCTGAATATGTATGGAACAAATCTCAGTTCGATTCTGTAGATCCTCGTAACACTGACTATATACTGGGTAAGTAAAATCATGTATATTATATATACCAATGTACCTATCACTCGTCATAACTTCTTTAAGTATATCTGCTAATTCCGAAAATGTTTCCAATCGTAACGCCATTTTATTACGTCAGACTTACTTAATATACTTTTCGTTAACATATACATTGATTGGGGCACTGTTAAGCTTAAACACATTCCATCTTACGCTGAAAATAGAGTAATTTATATTTCTTTTCCTCGGTACTTGATACATCATCAACTAAATGGGTTGGTGTAAAAACGGTAAAAAATAAAAGGAAAAACAAACAAATAAGAAAAAGAAAAACAATAATAAAAAACAAAACAAAAACAACAACAAAAGAAAAGAAAGCAACCCCAAACCCCAAAACATTTTAGAAAATTGAAAAAAAAAATAAATAAATAACAAAAACAAGAGCTGGTGTAAATTTTAAATATATAGGAAAGCGTAACTTCCTACCACATATAAAAGGATTCACAACCTTTTTTGTGGGGAAGAGAACTACTAATAATAATGTTGCTCAAATAAAAATACCCTACCCGCAGATAATATCAAACACCTGAAAATACCATCTTATACCACACAAGCTGGGGCAAGTGTGAAGACGACAATTAATATACTCATGGCTCCTGATGTTTGAACTTTTCCATCATTACAGGTCTGTTCGAGGCAGGTCACATGCAGTACGAACTGGACCGAGACAATGGAACTGACGGAGAGCCGTCATTAGCAGAAATGACACAAAAAGCCATCCAAATCCTCCAAAAGGACTCTAAAGGATTCTTCCTATTGGTGGAAGGTGATTTTTTTTTTATCCAAAGTAATTACTGTGTGCAAATATTTATACTGTAGAGTATGTTTTTGTCAAGAGCTCTTTTTATATATTAGCACTTTTCGGATATAAATAAAATCACAGGTTTGATAAAAAAAATATAATCCTTTTGAAGATTTCGGCGAAAAAAGCGTTCTATTTGCTTCACGTTTTTTATAGACGAAAACCTTATAAGTTGTTTGTAATAGTGTAATAGTGTTATAAGTAAACCTTGGTTCTTCATCATTTCGAGACGTTCATATCTTTGTTTATATTTTCTGAAGCACGTTTACCTAAACTGTGTAGGTCTTGATGAATAGTGGGTTTACCATATTACATGTCCTGTCTTTGTAGCATTGTGGTTTCTGTTTGGTCTCTTTGACAGACATAAATTGATGTTAGTATTACATTTTTATCTTAGCCGTTTGTTAACAGTTTTGATGGATATTTTCTTTTTACAAAATTTCATATTGTGTTTTTGTCGTTATTTCTATATTTTTATTGTATGTGCTTGTTGGAGAGAACAAAGAATTTAAAACGAGGTTTTAAGACAACAAAATAAAATACCCGCGGATTAAATTTGAAATTGGCTTGAGATATTAAAAAAAATAAAAATAGAAAGAAACCTGAACCAATTTTGTCAATTTGTCACCATTGAAAATGAGTTTCTGTATATATAATATATCAGTGAATAAGACGATATAGACATAAAAGCTGAATTTGTTTAACATCGAGCTCACATACAGATGTATGTGAACGCGTATGATATTTCTGGGTTACTTCCCCTTATAAACGAACTTACAGATAAGATTACCTTAGCGTGTTTTACTAATATTTTCCCGTGCTGTCGGGTTTACTTTAAAAAAAACAATGTCATATTTATGTATTTTTGTTCCTCGTCCTTTCTGGTTAAAATATATTTTCTTGTCGTTACCATTACTACAGGAATGCTGTTGATAATGACGTAGATTTGACTATTTCTGATTACCTACAGGAGCACGTATAGACCACGCCCACCATGACAACAACGCCAGACGTTCTCTGTACGAGGTTCTAGCTTTAGAAGATGCCGTTAAGGTTGCTAACGACATGACTGACGAAAGTGACACCCTGATTATCGTTACAGCTGACCACGCTCACGTGTTCAACATTGCAGGATATCCAAAACGAGGCAACGACATTTTTGGTAAGACAAATATATATATATATATGATCTAAAATGAGTTTTCCTTTTATGAGAGTTGATGAAGTGAGTTTTAGAATTGGTTATTTTTAAGAACTTGAGAAGAAAAACAATAAAATAAAAAAAACTTCGATACAATTGTAAAATAAAAATGCAGAGGACGAAATAAAACCGTGCGCCATTTTCAATTCATTACATAACATGATTGTTCATGTTATGGCATCACACCAAATTGTGTCAATATTTCAATGTCATGTTTCTCGCAGGTGTGGTTGATAATGTTGGAGAGGATGCAATAGCAGCCGATGGTATTCCTTTCACTACTCTCCTTTACGCCAACGGAAATAGTTATGACTGGGGGAACCGAACAAACGTGTCTAGCATAGATACAAGTGTGTATACCTAAACATGTACAATCATACAATGTGTATGCTGTAGACACAAGTGTGTATACCTACACATGTACAATCATACAATGTGTATGCTGTAGACACACGTGTGTATACCTACACATGTACAATCATACTATGTGTATGCTGTAGACACAAGTGTGTATACCTAAACATGTACAATCATACAATATATATGCTATAGACATAAGTTTGTATCCTAAGGTATGTCTATTATAACATAGGATGAACAAGGTGCCACCACTACAGATTTGAAACACACTGATAAATACATTATCAAAGTTAATACGTCTGTAACAAAGCTATTACAGTTTAAATTCTTCGTTGATAAAACTTGCTTCAGTAGAAAAAACAGCCGACGTGTTTCGAATAAACTAACTAACAACATAACATTAAGAAACGCTATTATCTTGCATTAAAACATGTTTCAAACAATCTTCTCTCAGCTTTACAAATGTTGTATTCAATGTGGTTCTTGTGATTTTTTCAGCTCATAAAGACTACCTCCAAGTTGCGGCAGCTCCGCGAAGCTCTGAGACTCACGCAGGAAGTGACGTGACCATCTACGCACGTGGACCGATGTCACACCTTATACACAGTGTGCACGAGCAGCACTACATAGCGCATGTTATGACATACGCTGCCTGTGTTGCTGATAATACACAGCGTTGTGATCACCTAGAAAATCGCGATCCAAATTCAGCGAACAAGAACCACGACAGGACGTATTTATATGTTATGTGTGTTTTGATCAATTTCCTACATTTATACTTTGTACATGTCTAACCCCTTAACAGGAACATCGCATGAAGCTCTTTGACCGGTCGCGTGACTCATATATTATCATTATATCTGTCGCTATTGAAGAAACAATTACTCTGCCCGATTGCCCTCGTAGTTCTCCTTAGTTAATATCGTAAAGCAGTATGACTCTTTTATTTTTTAACAATTTTTAAATTGCTCTCCAAGGCATATAACGTAAGGCAGTCTCTACAAGGAAAATAATGTAAGTCAGTCTGTATAACGAAAATAATGAAAGTCAGTCTCTATCACGAAAATAATGTAAGACAATCTCTACAAGGAAAATAACGTAAGACATTCTGTACATTGACAATAATGTAAGGCTTTCTCTACAACGAGAATAATGTAAGGCAATTTCAATAACGAAAATCATGAAAGGCATTCTTTACAACGAAAATAATGTAAGGCAATTTCTACAACGAAAATAATGTTAAACAGTCTTTATAACGAAAATAATGTGAGGCAGTTTGTACAACGAAAATAATGTAAGGCAGTCTGTACAACGAAAATAATGTAAGGCAGTCTCTACAACGAAAATAATGTAAGGCAGTCTCTACAACGAAAATAATGTAAGGCAGTTTGTACAACGAAAATAATGTAAGGCAGTCTACAACGAAAATAATGTAAGGCAGTCTCTACAACGAAAATAATGTAAGGCAGTCTACAACGAAAATAACGTAAGGCAGTCTGTACAACGAAAATAACGTAAGGCAGTCTCTACAACGAAAATAATAAGGCAGTCTCTACAACGAAAATAATGTAAGGCAGTTTGTACAACGAAAATAACGTAAGGCAGTCTCTACAACGAAAATAATGTAAGGCAGTCTCTACAACGAAAATAATGTAAGGCAGTTTGTACAACGAAAATGTTGTTAAACAGTCTCTACAACGAAAAAAATGTAAGACATCAACATTATAAATAACGCGAAGTCAAACTCACCAAATGGACAAATGTATGTATCTGTATTACATTACATACATAACATAATAAATATATATTGTAATACAACATAATGATAACATAATAAATGACGATTGAGGAAATCCTTGTATATTATATATATATAAATGCTTGATACACCATGTCTAAAAGTATTCTATGATAACGTGTCACATCAATACATAATTATGTCGGAAATCCCTGAATATTATATATATCTATAATTTACGTAAGCTTAATGCATTGTGTATACAATTATTCTATGATAACGTGTTGCATCAATAGCTAGGAAATCCAGTTGATAAGATATAGTAGATATATATAGAATCACAATATGTATGAAGATACAATAGGTAACAGATAGGTAATTATCTAGAAATATATCTAAGATGTATATTTTTTTATATATATATACGAAATTAATATTATTGACTTGGGATGCAGGTTGTAAGCTTGTCAGCAATCCACAATTTACAATGTAAGCAGCAGATATTTTAGTATTGCTCCATTGTATAAAGAAGCCCATTGATATTAAAAATCATTAACGGGTCGAACTGTTCCTTATCAGCCGGTAGGCCGGAGAACAACACCCCTTCACTTCAGAGTCGCTGAAATTTCGTCAACGATGTTCTGCTTACGCTGCAACGCTATCGTACCGCTGTACGTTTTGCCTAAGATGGAGACATACGAAATTCTAGACGAAGATGGACGTGTTTGTAGCTATTTAGTAGTAATATTGGTATATATTGTAGCGTTGGAAAGCTTGGGTAAAAGTGTCATAGAACAAGAGCGAAAGTAGTATGATGATAAAGCACCTTTTAAACCACGTCGTACAGCATTTCGTCCTTCTGTACGATCTTCCAGATTGCAGGTGGTAGACACTGCCAGTGGACTTGTTGAGCCCGAGGTTTGCCGTAACCTGCATGCCACGTTCATTTAAATAGTAGCACGGGTCGTAACATACTCACGTTTGTGACACTCTAAAGTAATCCGATATATGCAACTATATTTAATCACGGGACTAAAGCATACTTTCTATTCTTAGAGGCTCTCAATTTTAATCTGTGGTCTGTTTTTCAAAAGACTTCGACTCGATTTAAACGCTTTTATTTCGATATTTATATCCTGGCTTTCTGTGCGATTGTCTAGTGCTTTTAATTTAGAATGCTTTTGTAGAACCGTACATTGATATCTAATAATTAAAATCTTGCTGCACGTGTCTGTGGGTATTGCGATGTTACTAATAGCACAAGAAGTAGCATGCCACGAAAGTTGCCGTAAATAGATATATCTTGCTGACGTCGTTATTTCCGGCTCCGGAGGTCGTAGGAGTTGTTGTCACTATACCTTTACATCGATTTCTATTGTCTGCAACACATGCGGCGTATGACATAACATGCGCGATGTAATGTTGTTCGTGAACCCCGTGTATCAGGTGAGCCATTGGTCCGCGTGCATAGATTCCTACATCTTGTCCACCGTGTGAATCCTCGAAACGTGGAGCCGCGGCAGATTGTAAATAGTCGTTATCAGCTGTAAAAAGAGGGGATATAATTTGATGTTACATCGATGTCACTATTGGTAATAATAAAATCCTGAACAGGGTTAGATATACCTCGGTGTAAGTGCATGATGACGAAATTAAAAACCAAAAGCCAATTCAAGAAAATTGCAACAAGGGATTGTACAAGTGATTATTAACAACGTGTCAGCATTGCTTAAAAAGAAAATCCCTAATGTTTATGTATTTTACTTGAGGCTGAATTTGTAAATATCGGGGTATTGAGATTTCATCCAAGTGTGACTTATCTCGCGAGCTTTTCTAACATTAAATGTCAAATAATTTTGCCAAGTAATCGCTCTGAAAGATACGGAACGAAAAAGAAACATACTGACGTTAGATTATAACACGATTGCGATGGGACATAACTAGATGTGAACACCTCGCCATGTCATTAACAACAGAAAATCCTTCTTGTGCTAAGCCGTTGCCAAAGTCCATCTCTCTGCATCCCAGATAGTCGAGAATGTACAGCCAGCGCGACGATTGGATTTCATATCGTCATACCCGATATTTCATGTCTTAACAAGTTAGTAGTGCTTGTATATACTTACTCGTATCTGTAGCATGCACATCGGTTTGAGCTCCCGCACGGTAACCTGGACCGTTTCCGTAAAGTAGGGTGGTGAAATGTGGCCCATTTTCATCTTCGTCATTGTCAACTATGCCTAAATCAATAAATCACAAATGTAATATTGTTTAGAGAATATTGGCACATTCATTTTTGTCAATGGAACAAAAGCCAAATGTTTGCTTTAGAAAGTCATGTTTGAGTTTTTCTTTTCTTAATCTGTTTTCGAATATTTGCAGTAAGTAACCATATGAAGAGGAATTTGCTTACCAGTGAACATATTTTGTACCAGCGTTGTTTGCACCGTTTTCTCTCCATTTGATGTATAATGAAGCTAGCAAAAATACTGAAAAGAGTACATACGTCTGTTTGTATATCGACGACCGTCGCTTCAATCGATCGTGAGGTTTATTCACCAAAAATATTGTTGCCTCGTGCTGGATAACCAGCGTTGCGTACTCACCAAACATATTGTTGCGTGGTGCTGTATAACCAGCGTTGCGTACTCACCAAACATATTGTTGCCTCGTGCTGTATAACCAGCGTTGCGTACTCACCAAACATATTGTTGCGTGGTGCTGTATAACCAGCGTTGCGTACTCACCAAATATATTGTTGCCTCGTGCTGGATAACCAGCGTTGCGTACTCACCAAAAATGTTGTTGCCTCGTGTTGGATAACCTGCGATGTTGAAGACGTGGGCGTGGTCAGCCGTTACAATTATGAGTGTATCGTTTTCGTCGGTCATATTTGTAGCAATTTTTACAGCATCCTCGAAGGCTAAACCATCATACAACGCGCGCTTGGCGTTATTTTCATGGTGGGCATGGTCAATGCGACCTCCTGAATGAAATCGCAGTGGAAAGGATTAGAAACACCGACGATATCGTAACGAGAAGTATGGATATTAACAAGAAATTAAAAGTATTATTATGTAATTAATTAACAAACTTTTAAGTGATCATCTAACGAAATTCATTTCTTGATCAAGATGCTTCAGATATCTGAATTATGTTTTTAGAACAGAAAAGTCATTTTGTAATTTTAAGAAATCTGGATGCTTCTCTCAATTTTCTGCCAAGTTTTCCTTCCTGTTCACTATGTTTACGTATAATCACAGGCACTTTACCTTCCACTAACAGAAAGAAGCCATCTTGGTTCTTCTGAAGAACCCGAATAGCTTTCTGAGTCAGCGCTGCTAGAGATGGTTCCCCCTTTGGGCCTTTATTTCTGTCTAAATCGTATTGCATGTGACTTGCCTCAAACAGACCTGCATAAACAAATTAATTTATTTGGCGATCAAACATTTTAAACATATCTTTAACATTTTATTTGTAATAATTTGTCGAAGATGTTGTGAACAAAACAATGCCGTGAGCAAACGTCTACAGCGAGGTGATTCGTGTTGGCAATGGTGCAAGCTGAGAGAGCTATGTCATGTTGTTTAATACAGACACACAGACACGTCTGATTTTAAAATGATCTCACCAAGACAGCGAGCTGATTCGTGTTGGCAATGGTGCAAGCTGAGAGAGCTGTGTCATGTAGTTTAATACAGACACGTCTGATTGTAAAATAATCTCACCAAGAATGTAATCCGTGGTTGCAGGGTCGATTGCGTCGAACTGTTCATTATTCCAGGCGTACCTTGCGTTAGCATTCTTCATTTCCTTATCTTTTTGCCAAACCTTTAATAATATAAACCCGACGTTCAAATAAACAACATCCTTTCATTCACGTCAATTTTTTTATTTGATGAAGCAATTAGTTTATTTAGTTGTATAAACAACATTTTCAATGGGTTTTTTTTCTAATCCGTGTCATCTTTGCAATGATTGTTATCTTGTAAAGGAACACAAAAAATAATGAAGAAGAAACAAATGAAGGTATTTTATCTGGTTTGATCATGTGACTAGTTACAGTTACTATCTTCAAAAAGTCTTTGTCTTCAACGAGGTACCCGTATTAACTATATCATCATCAGAACGTATGTAAGACAACGAGGTACCCGTATTAACTATATCATCATCAGAAAGTATGTAAGACAACGAGGTACCCGTATTAACTATATCATCATCAGAATGTATGTAAGACAACGAGGTACCCGTATTAACTATAACATCATCAGAATGTATGTAAGACAACGAGGTACCCGTATTAACTATATCATCATCAGAACGTATGTAAGACAACTAGGTACCCGTATTAACTATAACATCATCAGAATGTATGTAGGACAACGAGGTACCCGTATTAACTATAACATCATCAGAATGTAAGACAACGAGGTACCCGTATTAACTATAACATCATCAGAATGTATGTAAGACAACGAGGTAACTGTATTAACTATAACATCATCAGAATGTATGTAAGACAACGAGGTACCCGTATTAACTATAACATCATCAGAATGTATGTAAGACAACGAGGTACCCGTATTAACTATAACATCATCAGAATGTATGTAAGACAACGAGGTACCCGTATTAACTATAACATCATCAGAATGTATGTAAGACAACGAGGTACCCGTATTAACTATAACATCATCAGAATGTATGTAAGACAACGAGGTACCCGTATTAACTATAACATCATCAGAATGTATGTAAGACAACGAGGTACCCGTATTAACTATAACATCATCAGAACGTATGTAAGACAACGAGGTACCCGTATTAACTATATTATCATCAGAATGTATGTAAGACAACGAGGTACCCGTATTAACTATAACATCATCAGAATGTATGTAGGTACCCGTATTAACTATATCATCATCAGAATGTATGTAAGACAACTAGGTACCCGTATTAACTATAACATCATCAGAATGTATGTAAGACAACGAGGTACCCGTATTAACTACAACATCATCAGAATGTATGTAAGACAACTAGGTACCCGTATTAACTATAACATCATCAGAACGTATGTAAGACAACGAGGTACCCGTATTAACTATATCATCATCAGAACGTATGTAAGACAACGAGGTACCCGTATTAACTATAACATCATCAGAATGTATGTAAGACAACGAGGTACCCGTATTAACTATAACATCATCAGAATATGTAAGTATGTAAGACATGTAAGACAACGAGGTACCCGTAGAATGTACCCGTATTAACTATAACATCATCAGAATGTATGTAAGACAACGAGGTACCCGTATTAACTATATCATCATCAGAATGTAAGACAACGAGGTACCCGTATTAACTATATCATCATCAGAATGTAAGACAACGAGGTACCCGTATTAACTATATCATCATCAGAATGTCAGACAACGAGGTACCCGTATTAACTACAACATCATCAGAATGTATGTAAGACAACGAGGTACCCGTATTAACTATAACATCATCAGAATGTATGTAAGACAACGAGGTACCCGTATTAACTATAACATCATCAGAATGTATGTAAGACAACGAGGTACCCGTATTAACTATAACATCATCAGAATGTATGTAAGACAACGAGGTACCCGTATTAACTATAACATCATCAGAATGTATGTAAGACAACGAGGTACCCGTATTAACTATATCATCATCAGAATGTATGTAAGACAACGAGGTACCCGTATTAACTATATTATCATCAGAATGTATGTAAGACAACGAGGTACCCGTATTAACTATTAGAATGTATGTAAGACATCATCAGAACGTATGTAAGACAACGAGGTACCCGTATTAACTATAACATCATCAGAACGTATGTAAGACAACGAGGTACCCGTATTAACTACAACATCATCAGAATGTATGTAAGACAACGAGGTACCCGTATTAACTATAACATCATCAGAATGTATGTAAGACAACGAGGTACCCGTATTAACTATAACATCATCAGAATGTAAGACAACGAGGTACCCGTATTAACTATAACATCATCAGAATGTATGTAAGACAACGAGGTACCCGTATTAACTATAACATCATCAGAACGTATGTAAGACAACGAGGTACCCGTATTAACTATATCATCATCAGAATGTAAGACAACGAGGTACCCGTATTAACTATAACATCATCAGAATGTATGTAAGACAACGAGGTACCCGTATTAACTATATCATCATCAGAATGTATGTAAGACAACGAGGTACCCGTATTAACTATAACATCATCAGAATGTATGTAAGACAACGAGGTACCCGTATTAACTATAACATCATACCCGTATTAACTATATCATCATCAGAATGTAAGACAACGAGGTACCCGTATTAACTACAACATCATCAGAATGTATGTAAGACAACGAGGTACCCGTATTAACTATAACATCATCAGAATGTATGTAAGACAACGAGGTACCCGTATTAACTATAACATCATCAGAATGTATGTAAGACAACGAGGTACCCGTATTAACTATATCATCATCAGAATGTATGTAAGACAACGAGGTACCCGTATTAACTATAACATCATCAGAATGTATGTAAGACAACGAGGTACCCGTATTAACTATAACATCATCAGAACGTATGTAAGACAACGAGGTACCTGTATTAAGTTGACACCATCCTGTCGTTGTTTACCAGAATTTCCGTCATTCAGTTCAGGATCATAATCATCTTTTCCAAGGAAAAACTGACGTCCTCCACCTAATATAACCTAGAAAAACACATGAGTTGAGTATTTAGATTTTACTACCCAACAACCTCCTGCCATCACAACTTATGGCTTTTACTCGTTGCATTTGATTTGATATTCAATTGCTTGCTCCAAATATCATTATTTTCGTGCAGAATTTGTGACAGGCTGTCTTTTATGATGTTCAAATGAGTGCATTGCCATAAACAATAGACGTTTTGCTGTTTTGGTGATAGACAACTTGTACACGTACGTTTTCTAGATAAATTTCCGCAGTTGCGGGCTGATTTTCTCGAACAAAAATGTTGCTGAAACAACACCCTGAGGAAATTCGAACATATACAGGTAACATATTCTATCTTAAGCATAATTTTGTCGTATTTAGGAAATATGTTCGGAGCTATTTTGATTTCAAAAGTTTTTAGTTCGACTAAATTACAGTCATTCTACTTAATAATTTAAATGATAATAACTGCTTTTGAATAGTTTCAGCCAGTTGTTTTGCCCTTATATTGGAATTAAAGGAAATGCACATCTGATATGTGATGCATATTTATTTCCATTGTAGAGTATCTATTCACAATAGGATAATACATAAACATTCCTTTGCTTACAACTATTGATAACACAGACCGGAAATGCCAAGGTCAATCAAAATTGTAAAAAAGGATTAGATTGACGTCGAGATTTTTTTGTCAATTTTGAAAAAAAAAACACCCGAAGGCTGAAATTCCTCAACCAAAGTACAAATGAATAGTATCCCTTACCCTTGTTGGTAGTTCTATATGTATGCCGATGTTGTCCAAATGCTTTACATTCTTTTCATTACGGAATAATATGGGAAACCCTCGCTAATAGCGTGGCCAAGGGTCAGAGAAATGTTTCTGGTGCAGAAGTTGTTGTGGATGAGTAATATACTCACCTTTATATCACTATTATTATAAATGAGTTGTGAGGCGATATCTTTACACCCTCCAGTAACGCCCACCATATCACCGTCTACCTCCCAGTTACGTGACGCCGATTTGGCGTACGCTGCTGCAGGCGTAGCATGTGTGACCCTCGCTGTGGTGACCAAACCCAAAGACCGACCTGTAGTCAATAACAGAGGTGAGCTCAAACAGAACCTGTCGTGGATTTCAAAATTTGTAATAATTACTTTAATATTACACAAAAAGTGAATGAAAAAATCTTTATGAATAAATGTCATTACGCTTTATGTCCATAATATGGATATCGTCTCATGCAACTGCAATTGGGCCATATTTTCCCGACCATGTGATTGCAAAAGATATTTTTAGAAGACGTATCCATGTGTCTCCTTAATAGTGTAGTAGGCTTACTATGAAGGATCGTAATTGTAATATAGTGGAGACAATATAAAATGAATACGAGAAGAAAGACAAAAGCAACTTAGATGGATTCAATAGCCAAGGTTTCAACTGCCATTTTCTTGCCTTTGACGGAACTTCATGGACTCGCGATTGTAATGTTACTGTTTTACTTTCCAGTTTTGCGTGTAGATTTGTTGCACAAAAAAGTTCAATTTTAACACTAGGCATATAACGAGATCACATAATGGATACCTTCAGTATGTACATACATCATTTACGAAATATCTTTCTTTCGAAGTTTACGTCCATCAACCAGAAATTTAGGGATTCTAACAATCCAGAGGTTAAACGTTTGCAGTAAGCTCAGTTTCTTTTTTAAGTTTTAGCGTTATTCCAATCAAACATGGATTAAAGCCGTCAGCAAAGCTTTATGTTTTCATTTTTGGTAAATGTTTACGATAAAATCATCAGATTTGGTGTAATTACTACTCAGTCTTTATGATCTGTTCCATTCATATCATATTTAGTTTATAATCATATTGAAACTAGTACTATAACATATTACACGAGTGTCTCCTCTCCATTCTTGGGAAGAGTGATCTGTTTGGTTTTAAAATGTGTGAATTTTGAGAACTGCTAATAATAATAATGATAATAATTAAATAAAAATAATGCAAATTCCGTGTTTTTAAAGTGTCAATATTTTTTTCATGACAACAACAATTCTATAGCATATTATTAATCATAAATAAGTTTGAAAATAATTTGGTATTTGGAGAGGAGATACATATCATTGTGCATAATTCTTGCATATTAAGTCACATACAATTAGCATAAGGTAGAAATCGCTTTTCTCTGTCACAAGATCTATACTACTTTCAATAAAAGCAAATGAAGAGAAACCCTAACGATGTGTATTTAAGTTAAACAACAGGGTATATCAAACAGGTATAATAACTTTTCTTTAATAGGCCTACATCTCCTAGATTTTGAAAACTTTATAAATTATATCTTATGAGGCAACCAATGTGTGCACTTTAAACAAGTCCCCTTTTACACAAATTCTAGACCGATTAGAAACCCATATCCTCACCATCTGCTCTGAACCATTCAAATGCACAAGTAATTTCGTTTCCATGTTGGCTTGCACACTGCCCATCCCTAGCTTGGTCGTTTAAGCCTATCAAACGGTAATTTGTTTTCTCTCCGCACAGCAGGGCAGTCGCTGTTGCTGCAGAATCGGTCGTTTGTCTGTCCTGAGAGTATGTCTGAAAGGTGTTACAGCAAGGAAACAAGCTATTTTTAGCAAAGCAACAACACGTAATAATCTTAAGAAATGTTTATCGGACCGTTTGATAGATCTTGAAAGCATACAATATCGTATCTCCGACATTGCATTCATTGTATGACTCCTAACAAATTCAAGAATGAAAGTTAGTTATGAATAGGAAGACACAAACACTTACAAGACAATATGGTTCAAACAAAGAGTCAGATTTTCGTTATGGAATATGTCTTTGTATTTATTTTATTTCAATTTATATTCCTGTATATAACTGTGTTCGGAAAGAAAATGTATTTACGATCTTCGCGAATCATTGAAAGGCTCAGTGAATATATTGGAAATTAGTCGTGCAAAGTATTATATAATATCAACGAATGTAAATTAAGTGAGTACTTCCTCTTGGGAATTGAAATAAAATGCATTTCTTCTTCTTATCATAGAAAATCAAAGATACAGATGATATGAAGCGATATTGACGTCTTTTCCAGAGAAGACAATGGTAGGAACAGATATAACATCAAATTAAAACGATCATTTATTTTTTTAAGAGGAGTTTGTCATATATAATTAGAAATCTGTTAATAATTAGTTTCTGTTTATAGTAAAATCTTCGATAATAGAAAATAAATATCAACCTTTGAATATCCTACATTTGGAAATTTCTCGAACTCCAGAACGGTTTCCTCGCCCGTTTGGCCCATGGTTTGGCCCCTGAGAATCCTGGTTGCCGTCACAGTAGGCCCGCCCATTCCGTCGCCCACAAACAGGATGACATTTTTAGCTGTATTATTGTTGGGCTTCCGGTTCAATGCGTTTTTTAATTCCTGTTCCGCAAGCTTCTTCCAATGCAAAGAGCCTGGAACTTTACATTAAATATTTCCTTAGTAGAAACGTTCACATCATTTTTTAGTGTCAGTCAGTATTTACAATCGGAAGATTACAAAAACATAACATAATTTGTTTGTTTCAATTAAATAATTGACACAATGCCATATTCCAACTGTGTATTAAGAACTAGTATTTTTTATATCAACATGTACCGAACGCATGTATGTTTAAAATCCTTTTTTGATTGATTTACAGTTTTCGAAGGAAAAACTGGTTAACGTTTTCTCAAATTAGAGAAATGATAACGATCACAATAAGACTTGAATATGATTTCTTTATCATTCTGTCAGTTTTATATAGAAACAGTGGTCACGAAATTCCCACGAAAGTCCATCATACAACTGCAATAGGAATCATCCATTTTCTAACAATATAAAAAATAAAGTCAATCAATGATGAAAACTGACCCATAACCGAGCTGTTGGATGTTAATGATGATGGATGTCTGGTAGAACAGACTTGTGTCATCATGCGGAGAGCACATTTTGACCATGTCTGGTAAAATAGACTTGTGTCATCATGCGGAGAGCATATTTTGACCATGTCTGGTAGAACAGACTTGTGTCATCATGCGGAGAGCATATTTTGACCATGTCTGGTAGAACAGACTTGTGTCATCATGCGGAGCATATTTTGCCCATGTCTGGTAGAACAGACTTGTGTCATCATGCGGAGAGCATATTTTGACCATGTCTGGTAGAACAGACTTGTGTCATCATGCGGAGAGCATATTTTGACCATGTCTGGTAGAACAGACTTGTGTCAACATGCGGAGAGCACATTTTGACCATGTCTGGTAGAACAGACTTGTGTCATCATGCGGAGAGCACATTTTGACCATGTCTGGTAGAACAGACTTGTGTCAACATGCGGAGAGCACATTTTGACCATGTCTGGTAGAACAGACTTGTGTCATCATGCGGAGAGCATATTTTGACCATGTCTGGTAGAACAGACTTGTGTCATCATGCGGAGAGCATATTTTGACCATGTCTGGTAGAACAGACTTGTGTCATCATGCGGAGAGCATATTTTGACCATGTCTGGTAGAACAGACTTGTGTCAACATGCGGAGAGCACATTTTGACCATGTCTGGTAGAACAGACTTGTGTCATCATGCGGAGAGCACATTTTGACCATGTCTGGTAGAACAGACTTGTGTCATCATGCGGAGAGCACATTTTGACCATGTCTGGTAGAACAGACTTGTGTCATCATGCGGAGAGCACATTTTGACCATGTCTGGTAGAACAGACTTGTGTCATCATGCGGAGAGCATATTTTGACCATGTCTGGTAGAACAGACTTGTGTCATCATGCGGAGAGCATATTTTGACCATGTCTGGTAGAACAGACTTGTGTCAACATGCGGAGAGCACATTTTGACCATGTCTAGTAGAACAGACTTGTGTCATCATGCGGAGAGCACATTTTGACCATGTCTGGTAGAACAGACTTGTGTCATCATGCGGAGAGCACATTTTGACCATGTCTGGTAGAACAGACTTGTGTCATCATGCGGAGAGCACATTTTGACCAGCGTGTTTTTATTTTTATTAGAAGCTGATTATAATCAGATGGCCAACGTGAATTCTCTGGTTTGAAAAAGATACTTGAACGATATCGTTAATTGTTGGGATTGTCATCTCTCTTTCATTGTCTCCTAATAACACAACATATTTGTTAATCATTAGTGATTCTAAAAGAATAAGCATTTTGATGAATACTAATTTTAAATAAGTTTCATATCCATTCCCTTATGATAAATTATTGGTTGTGTTAGCAAATTTAAACAACATGACCTGACATTACACTGACAAAAGGCTAACTAGGACATGTGCATACAGTTCAGTAATGTACAACAAGCAAGCGGCAGTACAAAGTGCTTGTTAATTACGGCTTCAAAACATAACTCAGCCTTTCTCACGTGGGCGGACGTTCAACTCAAAGGTCAAATATTAAGATAGTGTAAGAGTGACATGAGGAAGAATAGAGGTCTTCATGAAAAATGAAAATATATACAGATCCTAGTTTAGTCTTATCTACCAAATAGATATATGAGAATACTTAATAGGGGTGAGGAGCGCCTCAGGTAAAATTGACATGGTTGGACTAAAATGAACTTTGAATGGGAGATATGTTACATGCATTGTACACGGTAAACATGCCGAAATATTTGCTTTTGAATTCCAAAGCTTACATGTCCTCTGTTCTTCGCCGCTATTTATGATACAGTACTGTATATATGATTTCAGCCCAAACAGTTGTCTGTGTCTGACTGACAAGTTACATGGAATTGAAATCGAGAATGTACATTGTATATCAGTAAGTAATTAAGATACAACGCAGATACTAGGAAAACCAATCCTTACTTGGAAACATTAAAATTTGCTTGTCATTATTCCTGTCAGTAATGCACTTATCTAGATTCATTTTCTCAGATACATGCAGAACACATTTAAAAAATGGAAGCCTGTTATAAAGATATAAAATGGAATACCTATGTCATACCACAGATGTTATAAAGATATAAAATGGAATACCTATGTCATACCAAAGATGTTATAAAGATATAAAATGGAATACCTATGTCATACCAAAGATGTTATAAAGATATAAAATGGAATACCTATGTCATACCAAAGATGTTATAAACATATAAAAAGGAATACCTATGTCATACCAAAGATGTTATAAACATATAAAAAGGAATACCTATGTCATACCAAAGATGTTATAAAGATATAAAATGGAATACCTATGTCATACCAAAGATGTTATAAAGATATAAAATGGATATAAAATGGAATACCTATGTCATACCAAAGATGTTATAAAGATATAAAATGGAATACCTATGTCATACCAAAGATGTCATACCATATAGATGTTATAAAGATATAAAGATATAAAATGGAATACCTATGTCATACCAAAGAGGTTATAAAGATATAAAATGGAATCCCTATGTCATACCAAAGATGTTATAAAGATATAAAATGGAATACCTATGTCATACCAAAGATGTTATAAAGACATAAAATGGAATACCTATGTCATACCAAAGATGTTATAAAGACATAAAATGGAATACCTATGGCATACCAAAGATGTTATAAAGATATAAAATGGAATACCTATGGCATACCAAAGATGTTATAAAGATATAAAATGGAATACCTATGTCATACCAAAGATGTTATAAAGATATAAAATGGAATACCTATGTCATACCAAAGATGTTATAAAGAGATAAAATGGAATACCTATGTCATACCAAAGATGTTATAAAGATATAAAGATATAAAATGGAATACCTATGTCATAAGATGTCATAAAGATATAAAATGGAATACCTATGTCATACCACAGATGTCATACAGATATAAAATGGAATACCTATGTCATACCAAAGATGTTATAAAGATATAAAATGGAATACCTATGTCATACCACAGATGTCATAAAGATATAAAATGGAATACCTATGTCATACCAAAGATGTTATAAAGATATAAAATGGAATACCTATGTCATACCAAAGATGTTATAAAGATATAAAATGGAATACCTATGTCATACCAAAGATGTTATAAAGATATAAAATGGAATACCTATGTCATACCAAAGATGTTATAAAGATATAAAATGGAATACCTATGTCATACCACAGATGTCATACAGATATAAAATGGAATACCTATGTCATACCAAAGATGTTATAAAGATATAAAATGGAATGCCTATGTCATACCAAAGATGTCATAAAGATATAAAATGGAATGCCTATGTCATACCAAAGATGTCATAAAGATATAAAATGGAATACCTATGTCATACCAAAGATGTTATAAAGATATAAAATGGAATACCTATGTCATACCAAAGATGTTATAAAGATATAAAATGGAATGCCTATGTCATACCAAAGATGTTATAAAGATATAAAATGGAATACCTATGTCATACCAAAGATGTTATAAAGATATAAAATGGAATACCTATGTCATACCAAAGATGTTATAAAGATATAAAATGGAATACCTATGTCATACCAAAGATGTTATAAAGATATAAAATGGAATACCTATGTCATACCAATGATGTTATAAAGATATAAAATGGAATACCTATGTCATACCAAAGATGTTATAAAGATATAAAATGGAATACCTATGTCATACCAAAGATGTTATAAAGATATAAAATGGAATACCTATGTCATACCAAAGATGCTATACTCTGCTGAATCAGAACAAAAATATCACTAGTATCTTCATACATTATCAGGCCAAATACGTTGTTATGATCGGATAGAGGAGGGTTTTATTTCAAATTAAGTATAGATAAACCACGATTCCTCGTCGCTGAACATAAAATCAAAAGCTTTAAAATGTTAAAAAGTATTGTTTGTTAAAATCAGTAAATCCAGAATTATGTACATGGAATTTACACATTTTAAGATATTGCACATACTTTTTCTTCTTTTCTATGATAATCAGAAAAGTCTTGCATATGTGTTGGTAAGTTTTGAATATAAATTAAGTCTTGAATCAATTATTTTTAAATACTGAAACGTCTGACGACGTGCCAAAGCAAATGTTTAATCTTTAAATGTATACATCTAAAAATATTGCATACATTTTTATATTTTGAACACAGGAAAAAATATGAGACATGTATTGGTTAGTTTTGAGCATGAAATCCTTTTTTGCATTATATTTTAACACAGTTTGAAGTGCCAGATAAATTGTCATATTTCTATATAGCTTTATATCATCTCGATAAACAGTGTCTATTTCGTTCAGTTGGCATTCATAGGAGCGTGACATTCTACGTTTTCGCTTTGTTTTATCCATTCAAAACTCTAATATTGTTAAACAATATGCGAGAGATTTGTAATGATTGTATGTTTGACACGCCCCTTCTATAAGTATAGGTAATTAACGC